AGAAATTATTCACCGTCAACAAAAAAAGCAACAACTGTGCAATATTAAATAATCATAATAAGAAAGTATGATTTACAAATATCTCTGTTATATTAGGAAAGCTTGTCCTGTATATTTTTTATTTATGTTTATTTTTAAGAGACGCGACACGTCTGCAGTTGGCTAAAGTATATAGTCAGCCGTGCAGCTAACTGCAGCGTCATCACCGTAATTAGACAATAACAACGCAGATTTAATAATAAAAATTATGAAATAAAAACGTGGCATAGCTTAAAACAAGCAACAATGACTGATCACAGATAGTGCTTGTGCTAATTACGCTTCTGTCCACAGGCGGCCTGCAACACCGCGTTGCTAGACCAACAAACCCACCAGACAACCCGTTGTCCCGACAACAAACATTAGTCTATAACACTTAACCTTTACTCTATAATAGACGGCTTGAACAGATATACCTGTGTAACAAAGATTACAGAGCTTACTGGCTAAGCGTGTAAGTCATACCGAGAATCCTGTCGGGAGAGAAAAATCCTCGCTCTAAAATGGTTAGAGAGCTAATGGTTATCATGCAATAATCTTTTGTCTGACAAAGATAGTGGTCGGAAGAGTTCGCAAGCCCTGCCATACAGTATGACACGAGATGTAAAGTAAACTAAAATTATAGATCGTAATATCAAAGCATCTGTTTGAAATGTAGAATAATAAACGGTTAGGATTTTTGTGCGCAAGAAAAACGATAGAAATAATTATGAATGAATAGCAATGACTATTATCTTATTAACCTGTGGTTATCGCCGGTACATGCTAGCGAAAGGTCTTTCGAACCCTAAATACAAGGGAATACCAAGCCGTAGGAGAGCTCAGACCAAAGACCCAAATAGTCAACAAGATTACCGATGCAATTTTACAAAACCAACTGTGTTCTGGTCATCAGTTAGTGTATCCCCGAAAAAAGAACGATATTTTCATAAAAACCAGCCAACTTGCAAAGCCCGCCGTTACTGACAATTGAAGTTTAGGATGTACAGTGCCAGTGGCCTCCTCGTGTATGTATGTGTGATTGTTTCTGCCCTAGTGTTATAACAACTGATTTGGTTCTCTAACCACGTCCTGTTGAGTCTGCCGCCAGACTTTATTAGTGTGTGAACCGCCATCGCTGCGGTTTGTATTCACTATCACGTTGTGGTCCACATCATTATTGGAAACACTGTTGTCTTTTAGTAACGTCTAACTGCCCTGGTTTGCTGACCATCTGTTTTGCAATGCAATGATGCCACAAAGAAGGTAGAAGTCATTTGACGAAAATTGCAATTAAACCGAATATTTGGCATTATTCTCACACTCAGGAACGAACGCTCTCTACCCACACTTTTTAAGTTTCTGCGGGGTGGAGCCTTAAGTTTTCTTGATAAGAATTTTTTCTTTTTTTGCGTTAGTCTATGATCGAACCTCGTCCTCGACCACAGCCCCCCAATTTTACATTGGTCTCAGTACATTCTGGCGATGTTTCTGTCATTACTGAAAACTCCTGGTCTGTAAAATCCATTCTGTCATCTGCTGTCGATCGCTGGTTCTATTATTACATTCTTCAAAGCACTAAAACCCTTTTTACTCGGAAGACGCCGAAGTAAAAAGGTTAATGTTAAGAATATAATACACAATTTTTTTGTAGACAACAGGACAGCCCAATCCTCGTACGCGATCATCCCAGCCTGGATGAACTAGTGGGACAATAAAGAACCGATAACATGTATGAACGGGAAGAGGTAGTCGACCATCGGTAAAAGTAGTGCTGGTGTGACAACTTTCGACCGGAATCACCGAATGATTGCCGCAATTTGTACTCGCACTCAGGACAACATCCAGCGAACGAGCCCGTGATAGAAATGAAGATATGATATAAAAGCGCATTGGATATGTACCATATCAATGAACAGCAATGGTATTACAGGTATTACGTCACTGATACTATCATTTCTCACGAGCTAACAGCTCTCGTAAGGCAGCATCAACGACCTGGGTGCCCCTGCTTCAGGACATAACAATTGCAAAAGTCAATGAATACCATCTCCCTAAAGGAGCAACACTCTAATCACCTCTCATCTTATCTGCTTGAGATCTTCACTCACTACCTGGGGGGAGCCAGGATTCGCTATTCTACATTAATTCAAATTAGACAATTAAAAAGCAGATGACAGCCTGATGACAACGATGCGTGCTTGCTTTGTGGCATGAGATCGGTCTGTCTAGTATCCGCGTTCGATGCGCGTCCAATACAAATCAGCATCGAATATTGTAGGAAACTGATAATCGTACTTTCAGGGGCATGCATATGTTCTCCTATACCTAATGCTTAAATACCCAGATGGGAGACCGCTCACAGACTTCGAAATATTTATGAGGGTCATCTGGTTTAGGCATTTGAAACTGTTGTAGTAATCGAATGGTGTGTGCGTTTGACGTGCGTCTACCGAGTTATATCGACAGTAAATCTCACGAGAGTGGTCAGAATATAAAAACGGGGGATACAGCCGACGTATATGCCTGTCTTCCCCTCTCCCCTGGTATATGTTTGTTGTCCATTATAATAATGAGATATGCAGTTTATGACACGCGTAGACGTTTAGACTTGGCCGACGCGTTAGGCTGGAACTTACCGGTATGCAACGGCGTAACACCAGAGCTCACCGCGCCGCTGCAATATCATCCATTTCTCGACCCAGGAGAAGAGGCTTATTTAAAAGAGTCAAGATACGGAGACGAAAACGCTAGTGTCGTTTTTTCTTAAACATGAACGTTAGAAGATATTACGACTCAAGCGTTACCGCTACCATAACCCGCATGCACGCGTGCTCCGCACCGGTTGCTCAAGCGGTCCAGTGTCCTGCTATCGTACCACGCGCTAAACGTAAGTATGTGTGTGACGCCGACTCGCAATCAACTCACCGCGCGTGTGTGTGTGTGTGTGTAGTGTGTGTGATCGCTCGTGTGTGTGGTGTGCTGTGTGTTTGTGTGTGTTGTGTGATGTGATGTGTGTGTCGTTTAGTGTGTGTGTGTGTGTGTGTGCTCGTGTGTGTGCGTGGGCTTGCTGTGGTGTGTGTGCTGTGTGTCGAGTGTGTGTGTGTGGTGTGTCGTCGTGTACGTGTGGTGGGTGTGCTAGTAGTGAAGCTTTGTGTCAGTTATGTGTGTGGTGTGCGTGTGTGTGTGTGTGTGTGTGTGTTGTGTGTTGTAGTGTGCGTGACTGCGTGTGTGATGGGTCGTGGCGATTGAGCTGGCGTGTGTGTTTTGTGTGTGGTGTGTGCTGTTGTGTGTTTGTGTGTGTTGTTTGTGTGTGCTGTGTGTGTGTGTGTGTTGTGTGGTGGTGGTCGTGTGTGTGCGTGTGCTGTTGTGTGTGGTGTGTGTACGCTCGTGTGTGTGTGTTTTGTGTTACTATAGAGCTTAATAAATGCAAGGACATGAGAAGTTTGTGGAGGGACGAAGTGTAAAGCCGCGTATGAAAGGTCCTTTAGCGATCTTAGCCATTACTGTTAGGACTGAAGGAGATGGAGACGATATATGTAAGCCCGAATGCTAAATGTGCTAAAATCAGCAACAAGGGTAGCAAGGCAGCGTGATAAATATAGCCTCTACATATTATAGGTGGGAATTGAGAATGTGATGTTTCGCAAGACATAGGAGGGCGAATGAGCTGATTAAGGAACTCAGTCGCGTGTAGCAAGGGAACTAGGCGCGCGAAGAAATAGTAGAGCCATGAAGCTCAATGAGGGTCAGAAACATTGATTGTCATTAATCATGAAACCTGTAAGATTCATTTAATCATGAATGATTCATGTAATCATGATTGATTGATTGTATAGAGGTGACGGGTACAGACAGGACGTGCTGGATAGAGGGATGAGATCAGCGATTGATAGCGTGCAGCCATAGCGTGGAGTGACAAACCTCGGAAAAAGCCTGGTTTACATCTTTCTATGTGCAATATGAAGATGCGGTGGTGTGGCGATGATTAGAAGAAGGAATGGATAGTGGGAAAATATCACCCACGTGATCAAGACGTTTCTCATACCGAAACTCTCGCATACAGTTTTAACAAAGAACGAAAAAGCCTGATGTATAAGCAGAGCGCGGCCTGCCTTACCAGACATGGCGTTAACAGCATGACGATGGATTCTAGCGGAAGGATGCTGCCAATGTGCAGCACGAAGGGACTAATAAAGTACTTACGCGAAGAAAAACTGAGTTTACTGACCGCTTGTACGTGGACTTTAGTGTATGTTTCCGAACCGCGGTTGATGTAACTGTTAATCCCGAGGTGACGGTCGCGGGATCTGTTGCAGAATTTAAGCTACTTTACGGATTTGGAGGATCTCTATACTGCCATATACTCCGCGGTGACAACTACACGCACGTCGACCATCCAGGCGTCACTGAACCAAATACTTAGCTCAACCGAGTAAGTAGCACTCCAAATAATTGGTAGGCGTACAGATATGCCACTCTCATTTATCCTCTGAGCAGCTGTGAGTTTACTACCCGTCGAAACATACAGTGGTGTGTTATAATCGAAAAAATCAGATCTGCCTCGGTCCACGAGGACGCAGTGATGTGGTTATTTAATGTGATGTGGCGGAGGACTGCTGTCTTGACTACACACACACACACACACACACACACACACTACACACACTACACACACACACACACACACATCACACTACACACGACACACACACACACACACACACACACACACACACACACACACACACACACACACACACACACACACAGAAACACACACACACACACACACACACACACACACACACACACACACACACACACACACACACACACACACACACACACACACACACACACACGCGGTGATTATGCGAGGCGGCTCACACACATACTTACGTTTAGCGCGGGTGACGATAGCAGGACACTGACCGCTTGAGCAACGTCAGCACCGTGCATGCGGTTATGGTACGGTACGTTGAGGTAATGATCTTCTAACGTCATTAGAAACGACACTAGCGTTGTCTCCGGTATCTTGAACTCTTTTAATAAGCCTCTTTCCTGCAAAAATGATGATAATTTGCAGCGGCGGTGAGCTTGTGTTACGCTTCATACCGGTAATTCCAGCCTCGCCTCGGCCAAGTCTAACGTTACGCGTGCATAAACTGCATTATCATCATTATTATAATGACAACAATATACCAGGAGAAGGAAGACAGACATATACGCGCGTTTTTATATCTGGACACTCTGGAGATTTGTGATACGTAAACGACTAAACGCACACAATATTAACAACATTAAATGCTAAACCAGATGAATCATAAATATTTCAGTGAGAGCGGTTCCCCATCTGGGATTTACATTGGAGAAATAATGAAGTACGTAGTTCCTAAATATCGATCGATTTGTAAACACATCGAACGGATATAGACAGAGATTCATCACAAGCAAGCACACGTTATCAGGTTATCTGTGTAAATAAGCGAACCTGTAGTAGAGTGAAGACAACAGAAGTGAGAGGTCTGCCTTTAGAGTATTCATTGATTTTGAATATGTCCGGGCCCCAGGTGTTGATGCTGCTTAGAAGCTACGAAAATAAATAGAATACCATTAGCTTTTAGCATATCATCGCTTTATATTTCATTATCACGTCGTTGTGGAACATGCGAATGCACACAGCACTACTTTTACCGAGGCGTTTTTGTCCAAGTTCACCGTAACGATGGCGTGTTGTCAGAAAAAAATTATTATTCTTAACATTAACCTTTTTACTCGGTCCGAGTAAAAAGGTTAATGTTAAGAATAATAATAGAACCAGGATGACAGAATGACAGAATGGATTTTCAGACAGGATTTTCAGTTGACAGAAACATCGCAGAATTACGAGAATGAAAAGGTCGAGGACAGTTCATCATAGCTTTACGAAAGAAAATTCTATCAACGGTCCACGAGAAAAGGGTAATGCTAAAACAAGCGTCAAGATTAATGTTGATTCTAACAACGGGCTCCTGGTTTATGAAAACGTTTCCTTTTCGGATAATAAATGACGTTAAATGCATAAACCACCGGCTAATAAGAAATAGCATGTATCATTCATAATATTTCATCGTGAAATTAACCGTTTATTCTAATTCGAGCTTTCGTATAATTAGTTTTTATCTCGTGTCATACTGGAACTCGATGTCAGAAAAAGAATTATTGATATAACATTAGTCTTAACATTTTAACATTTTCTCTCCGACAGGATCTCTAGACATTACACGTGAGAAGCTTGTAACTTTACACAGGTTTCTGTCAACCGTCTATTAGAAAAGGTTAGTGTTAAGACTAATGTTGTGTCGGACAACGGGTTGCTGGTGTTTGTTGGTCTAGCAACCGTGTGCAGGCCGCCTGGGCAAGAGCGAAACACAGCACTATCTGTGATCGTCATTGTTACTTGTTAAGCTAGCACTTTTTATTCATAATTTTTATTATTAATGCGTTTTATTGCCTATTACGGTGATGAGCTTGCAAGCTCACGTTGATATATACTTTAGCAATGCAGCGTCTTTAAATAAAAAAATAAAAAAATACAGGCAACTTTCCTAATTCAGAATTTGTAAATCATACTTTCTAATTATGATTATTTAATATTGCACAGTCGGTAATAATCTCTCTCCTAAATATCACCTCTTTATCATCTTTAAAATAAATTAAAAAAATTTAAAAAAAATTAAAACAAATAAATCGGTCGCGCATGCGCATCGTCGTCGTCGCTACCTGGCCGAGTTCTCGTTCGTTGGTTGTCTCGACGCCGTATTTCGGTACGGACGTGGCGACGCTGTTCGTATGCTCTAGCCGCCGCACGCCTGGAATCTCCGTCATCTTACTACCGCCGCTGCGATTCCTCTCGTTCTTCTCCTCCTTCGATGTTTTCTCGTTAGCATCCTTCTCCTCATCCTCCTCCTCCTTCACAGTGGGGATGTCCATCTCCTGTTGTTTATCTGTCGGCGAGAGAGAGAGGGGGAGGGGGGGGGGAGATTAGCAGAGCGGTAAGTAGGATCAGAAGTAGATAATAGGGAACTATTGAACTATCCCTATAAGAACTATACGGTTCCCTATTATCTACTTCTGGTAGGATGCACATCACGGGGGGGGGTGCATCTACGAGAAACCCGACATATGTGTGTCGCTGCACAAGCGTGACCGTCCCCCCGAACTGACCATTGCTGACCCCCGTCCGTAACCACGGCGACGGCTCGACTAGGTGGCTATGCGACACGTACATTATCGCTGTGATATCGCTACGGCACCTTAGTAACATATAATAATAATACACTGTAGGTGCAGCGCGTACGGCCATGCCTGGTAGAAGGAGGAGGAGGATGAGGAGGAGGGGGAGGAGGGGGAGGAGGGAGGGAGGGGAGGATGAGGATGACGAGAAGGAAGAGGGGAGGGAGAAGGAGAAGAGGAAGCAGAGGAAAAAAGAGGAGGAAG